CCTGTATTTGCTGTAGAAAACAAGACTTTTCTAGAGTCACGATTGACTATGTGATACAGCTTAAGTCATCCTGGAAACAGAGAGTGTCCAAGGAGTGTGGCATCCCAGGAGACAGCATGGGCGAGACAAGGAACTTCCTGGTGTGGCAGGGCAAGGCCACAGACCCTTGCAAGGGCAGTAACAAGACTATTATTTCTTCACTGTAAATAGTTCCTTATACAAGTTCCTGTATATGATAACGTGGTTCTTCCACACCACAAGATGCTACAGAGTGCCTGGAGCACCTCACTCGCCCTCAGCCAGCTCAGTGGCCCTTCAGCCAAAAGTGACTCCCTCACCAGTACTTATGGGAGGGTTAACACTGGACTGTGCCTCCGCTCTTTCCAGCTCTGAGCAGCAGCCATCGGGGCAGTTTCGAGTCATGGTGTCTGCTTGTGCCCTGCTTCTGCTCCAGCAAAGAAAAATCAGCTTCTCTGCTTAGGATGTGCACGCCAATTTTGGAGGAATGATTTTGGGGGAGAAAGGCGTGTGTGGTGTGTGAGTAAATATGGTATTTCATTTGCAAGCAAAAAGATGGAAGGGGTGAAGGTACTGGGGTCCTTCCAGACAGGAAATGCAAGGGGGTGGGACACTTCTGGGGGTGCAGAGCAGGGGAGGGGTGAAATGCTGGTGTCTCAAGTCATCCCTGTGCTCAGGCTCTGATATACTACTTGTAGGAGAAAATTCCCCTTTCCCCGTGGCTCCCACGCTTCATTCTTGCTGCCGGTTTCAGTTGTTTTACCACACAGGTTGTCCTCCCACATGGTCTCGTACCACATTGGTCCAGCAAACTGTTTCAGGAGGTACAGAAATAGCCCCGAATACGTTTGCCGAGGCTGGGGAACCTAAATAGCTCTGACAGCTGAGGAAAATGAGTGAAATATTCAAGCTGATCACCAGACTGGATGGACAGGAGCATGCCGCTGAGCTGGTTTGTGGCTCAGCCAGTGGTGCAGAGGAAGCTTCCAGCGATGAACTGAAATTAAGATCTTGGTTTTGATTTTATGGGGCCAAGAAAATATCTGTTGGCTTGGCTGTCAATACGCAGTGTGATTAGGCGGTGGAATGAGAGTGTGCAGTGCCTTGCCCTGCCTTGATACTGAAGCTGAAGTAGGTATCAGTACCTCTGAGATGCATGTACACAGAGGGTGTGTCTTCATGTGCATTTATGCTGGCTTAAGTTTGCTGCATAGTAAGTGGGAATAGGCTGGTGTCTACACGTGCAGGCAACCTGGGACTAAGTTTAGTCCCAGGTCAGAGCAGACTGCCATGTGCCCCTGTGGCCACCGGGGGGAGCTCCAGCCTCCGGCCACATGACTGCCAGCACTTGGGACTAACTTTAGTCTCAAGCTGAAGCCAGGAGAAGCAGCCAGTCAGGAGCCCTAGGGCTGGGCTCAGGCCAGCCCCCTTGTAGCTAGGCAGACCAAGCAGGGTGGCCCCCTGGGTTACTGCACAGCAGTGCATCTACAAGTGCATTACTGTGCAGTAACTAACTGGGCATAAATTTGATACCTGCCTTGTGCAGGTATCAAATTTATGCTCAAGTCCGCATAAGTCATCATATTAACTGCGCAGCATGGGTATGCACATGTACATGCACACCCATGCTGTGCAGTAATTTCAGTGACTTGCAGTAAATGTGCATGTGCAGACGCGCCCAGAGAGTGCCAGATGTGTGTGCTGTGAGGACATGGAAGACCCCAGAATACATTCATCCTCTTGACAAACTGATTGAAGAGACTCCAGGAAGTCCTGGGAGGGAAAGCTAGCTAATGCAGAAGGGCTGACAGGAGGACGGGAGAGGAGGACGGGTTTCCTAAGGGGCATCTGGGAGAGGGGGACTTGGCATGGCATGGAAGGAGAAAGCAGAAACTTGAACCTACCTGACACTCAACCCAGTCAGATCACTCTCTGGCGGGAGAAGCCTTTGCCCCGCTAGCGGAGTTGTTCCACCCCTGGTGAGTGGAGTGTGGTTTCTGCACCTGCCTGAAGGTGTGTGCAGATAATTGTAGGCATAGCCTTAAAATGGCGCACTCACCATTTGCAGGGAGCGTGAACAAAAAAGAGACTTATCAAGGCACGTCAATGAGGCTTAAAGCAGCTGGGATGAAAGAGGGGACTGGGAAATGCTGAGCAGTTGAAAGAAGAGGGCTGGCCAGGTCAGGGCACAAAGCAGAGCAAGTAGAATCCAAAATGGCTCGAGAGATGGCGACTTCTGACCCCTTGTGGGACCCTTTATTGAGGCTTGATCCAAAGCCCAGTGAATAGGCTTTGGGTTACATCTATGGTGCGTGTTCATGCCTTGATGTATAATTATTCAAACATACCTCCACTCCTTGGGTTTTCAATTCTATTTTTATTAGTGACAAGGCGCTCTGGGTTCTGCTTTGCACGGTCATTAATATGCTCTTTGAGTCACTGGAGGTCACTGGAGTTACTCAGCCCTCAAGCTGGTGCCTCATAACCCACCTGAGACGTGTATGCTGGCCTTGTAAAACACGCCCTAGCCTGCCTTCCTCCTCTAATTATCCTCTCGACTCAAATGAAACTTGCATTAACTAATGGTGCAGTCACGGGCAGCATGTTCCTATAATTTGATCTATCAGCAAAAGCTCCTGTTATTGCTAGGCTCATCAGGTAGCTTGTCAGGAGAACCTAAGGACAGTGTTGTCAGATAAAAGGGAAGGTTGCGTGGGGGAGAGAAGGGGAGGTAACCGAGCCCTGACACGTACCGTGCTTGCGGCATGCTCAGAGCTCGGTCGGGAAGGTGTTCAAAAATAGAGAGACTTTTCCAAAGAGGGCCACATTCTGCAGTCCCAAGAGCTCAGGGTATTTACTGAGGGTTGGCATCAATCGCCAAAGTCACCAGCGATTTGTGTGTGTGTGCGTGTGTATGTGTGTGTGTTATCCTGCTAAACCAAGGCTGTAAGGGAGAGTGGGGCATTCCTGAAAGGAGGGGCGAGGGGCCCTCAACCAAGCTATTGGTTTCTTTAGGGTTTGGGGTTTTTTAGGCTTGTCATATACTGCTTGGAGCATAGGTGACGTGTGGGAGGACATGGGGGGGCACGTGCCCCCCCCCCGAGATTGGCCGCTGCCAAAGCCTCCGGCAACTTCTGCAGGCAGTCGCTGCTCGCACCTGCCGCCCCCTCGTTGTTGACGTGGCACTGGCGTCTGCAGGTGGTGCCCGCTCACCACCATGCTCTCGGGAGGCACCAGTCGTTCATGGCTCGGAGGGCAGAGGGTGTTGCACCTGGCTGACTCGATGGGACAGAAAAAGCCCCTGGGATCCCAGCACTGCTGAACGGGGGTGTTTCTGCTAGACCTTGGGGGATTTGGGAGGGTTGCCAGTTAAAAAGCCACCCCTAGATTTAATGAACTGTTACCTCTCCCTGCCTCAAATGGCATCCTATCCTCTTGGTGTATTGCTAAACTGTCCCTTACAGAGACAGCTATCCTGAGGTTCATAAAAAATACCTCTGAAATGCAAACATTTGGCCTTAAGAATCGGCCAAAATACATTAAATGGCATATATTTTCCCAAACAGACCCCAGGGAAGATCATGTGCCTTCTTTCCCCCCGTACATGCACACTTATGGACTTTTCAGTACGTGCACACTCATGCAAGTCTTGCTTCAAGCTCTCTGCATTGAACCAACTCCTCTGCTGTTCATGTCTAAAGCACAGGTTTGAGGAACAAGGTATACACATTCCCAAAGACGTCTCTGCAAAGCGCTGCTAAGTATATAACTGTGGGTGCTGCATGGTGCTCCCTCCCTTCCCGCTTCCAGTTTTGAGAAAGTACTTTTGTGGAACTGGGAAAAAAATAGATTCCCTTTTCTCTGCAGGCTCCCCTCTGCCTCCTGCAGTGAGCAGGATTCATCCTGTGTCATGGGGACAATTTTTGTGGAAACACAGAGTTAAAATATTGGCGGTGGCCAGAGAGCTGAGGCAAAGTTCAGATCCGGACCAAACTTTACAGCCATTTCCTGTCTCTAGAATGGGCTGGAAAAAAAAATATGGCTCTCCTGGTGGGGGTTGGATCCATATCTGACCTCTGCGTGCCTGGCCTTTCTCTGGTGAGCGGGGCCCTTTCTCTAACCCTGTGAATGATGCGTAGTATACATGTGTGTGTATTTTCACCTCCCGTTTGTAAAGTGAAGAGCAGTGAGTTGAATATATTAGGTCTATTTAAAATAAGGGCCGGGAGAAATGCAGGGGGGAAGAACTGTAGATGTTATTTAATCGTTGCTTCAGTTGCTGGTGTTTTCAAAGCAGGAAGTGGCTCTGTCTGGCAGTGTTTTGCTGGTTCTGACTTTTCTTACAAAGCGGGGAGAATATTCATTTCCAAACAGACCTGAGTGACCCTGGCATCCAGTCCTCAGCCAGTATAAATTAGCGTAGTTCCACCGACTTCAGGGCAGCCTTGCTGTTTTATGCCGCAGCTGGACACCTGGTCCAAGATATCCAGAATCCTTAGCTTTACTAGGCTATCCCTGCAAACCTCTGTCTCATTTTATCCGGTGGGTTTTGCGGTGTGACCAATACCAGGTTGCTTATCGTGGAGGTGCTTTTTAAGAACGCTAAAGATTTGTGCAAAGCTACTGTTGAAAATCCAAGGTACTTTATGCACGTGGCGCTTTAACATTGCACTGTACCTTTAAAAGGGGCAAAGCCTTGGAATACAGGGCTGGTGTATTGGACCCTTCCACTTGAATTATAATCAGATGTTGTATTTTCATGCAAATTAAAAGCTGTTCTCTGTTAACGTGTTAGTTGCCTGAACCTCTGGACATTTCATCTGTTTATCATCTGGTTGCTCTACGAGCACAGCGAGAGCTCTGCCTACGACATTTTGTTTACTGCCACGATGTTTGCCATGCATCGAACTGCATAAATCGACTCGAGCTGCTTGCTCTGGTTTCTTTGAGTCTCCAGATGTGGGTTAGCCAAGAAGCAATAGTTCACGATCTTATCATGTGACTTGTGCATTTTGGTTTCCCAGGCAACAGAATGGGGCTCAGATGAAGACACCAGGAGGTCCTGTCAGAGTAAAGGAAAAACCGAGGTAAGTTTCTCTTTGGTATAAAAAGGCGGCAGCTAAATTATTGACTTCACACCCTTGGAAAAATACACTGGGGACCCCTGAGGCCAGCTCCAGTTTGTAGATGGGCAGTGTTTTTAGGGCCACCGCAACAAATACGTAAGTTAAATAGCGCATTCGTTTCAGTGCTCCACCCCCCAACACATCCTAGTTATTAGATCTGCTTTATATGAAATATAAAGGTAATTCACTGCCGGAGGGGGAGCAATTTGTGCAAACCAAGGAGCAGACTGGTGGCGGAACGGGACTAGCGTTTTGCTGCAAAGCGCCGGTTGATCAGGTCAGCTTACTCTTAAGCAGCGAGTTGCTGGATTGCAGCCACGTGGGCTTGTGTTTGGTCTTAATTACAGACAAGCACATGTTTTTGTCTAATTCACTTAAATTGGAGAATTTAGTCCAAGGACACAAAACAATTCTGTACAGCGGGGACATCGCTGAGTTCTTTATGAGATCGGTTCAGCCTGCGAGAATGCAATTCAAACCAACAGCAGTTTGGCTCGAGACCTCGCATTACAGCCCTCCTCAATTCGTAGGTGTTTTGGAGCCGAGCCCAGGTCTGCGTCCACCCCGTGTTTATAAAGGGTGAAAACAAAACCCAGGATTTGAAAGCCAGGAACGAGCATATGAAGTTTATTGTTACCAGGATTGCAGGAGCACCTGTAGGTGCAACTGAGATGGAAGCCCTGCTGTGTTAAGTGCTGTACATACATATAGTCAGAAACAGAGCGTACTGACACAGGGTAAAAGAAATGAAGTATCTCAATCCTGGTTTATAGACAGAGAACTGAGGCCCAGAGCAGTGGAGTTGACCAAGGGCACATGTGGAGTCTGTGGCAGAGTCACAGTAGCCATGAAATCAGGTTATCACCTTCCATTTGCTATCTCAGGCCATTATTATATGGTTTGGGATGTGGTGCTTTAATTAGAAAACTGTACTAATTAAAAGTGCCTGCATGTCCCGTGTATCGGCATCCCCACGCTGCAAAAATGGCAGTAGGGTGCATATCGAACATGTTTTATTTCAGAGTGCCCTGCCGCCGTTTTTTCAGCGCGGGGATGAACGGGGATGCTGATACATGTGACATGGAAGGCTGCTGGAGCGTATCCGTTTCTGTGCTCCAGCAGACTTGATTAATAGTGGTGCAAAGATTAATCGAGTCTGCTCCAACGTGCTGGATTCCAGCGTGTCGGACCAGGCTCCCCACACATCTATAGGAGCCCTCAATGTTTAAGCACCTAGAATAAGTTGGCCTGAATTTTGCATTTGCACCAATTCTGACTTCCAAGCATCACATCCATGCTAAGCTAATCCAAACAAATGACCTTGGGTATCAACTAGTGTTTTACAGAGGCCATTCGTTATATCCAAAACTTCTTGTGGGTAAATGAGAAATGTCGGGAGCCCGGTGGACTCCAAAATGACAGGGAGAATTACAAAAATAAAATAAAATGAAGACATTGGGAACTTTTTCAAGTTGGATCTAAAACCTTCAATGCTTCTATTTTAAAACATACGTGCTCAAGTAAGTGTGTTGCTGTGATCACCCATCGTGGAGTGTGTGCGACTAAAATGGTCTTCCATTGTTCAAGAAGGATTTGAATTTATAACCCAGAATTATTTTGTCAAGACACGGATGATACCCAATGTGAAGCTCCGTGCACTTGACTGAACACGTCCCCTAATAATTTTAATTTATCTTTTTCACTGATACGCCGACTGAAAGTGCTGGTCTGAAAGCCTCTTTCTGCTGCCACCCCTGTCTCCACACATCGCACCGCAGAGAGTGGATTAAACATTTCAGAAAATGCTCATGGTCCGAGCAGTGGGATTTATATTAGTCACGAGCCAGCGCAGTGAGATATCTAGTGGGCTTCCCTTTGCGGGTGCATTTTGGAGCCACCTTAAGTTTATTTGTGGACAGCAGTTACTCACGTTGTAGGATGATTCTTGATTCTGTTGGAAGCAGTAAATGGGGAATAAAGGCACGGCCTCATGCTCTGATAAGAGGACCTCGAGGGAGGAAGAAGGGAAGAAGGATGGTTAGGTGCTACCTTGAGACTCTAGAGACCTTCCCTTCCCCGCTCCACCAGAGTCTTACAGCACAACCTTGGGAAAGTCGCCTCCGCTCTGCCTTGATTCCCCATCTGAACATGGGGATGGCAGCACTTCCCAAGCTCACACTGTCCTTGTGAGAATAACCATTACCTGGTGCTCGGATATTATGGCGTTGCACCTTGAATAGGGAGGAGCTTTGATACCGATTCACTCTGTCACCGTGGGGCAGTTACTTGCCCAGCTGGGTTTCTTTGACCTTCTTAGTCATGGATTTATTGATTTACATTTTTGAGATGGGGTTTCCATAGCCAGACAAGCTACTGCTAGGCCTCAGTTCCCATCTATTGAGTGTCTAAAACAGATCCCTCAGCAATATAGGGTGGCAACCGTCAGTCCTCCTGGATCATGGTAGATGCATGACTATCAATGCATATGCCCGGGCAGGAGTTTTTGGAGGGGTGAAGGCTGCTCAGACTTTCCATCCTCCCTTTAGGCCACTGAGACAGACTCCAAAGACCAGACTGGAGGTCGGACCTGATGATCTGTTTAGGTCCCTTCCAACCCTAAGTACTAAGTACTGTGACTGAGTCCAGATGTTTGGTGCCTCCATGGCTGTAGTTGTATAAGTGTCTGGGAATCGAACCCAGGTCTCCTGTGAACCACAGGGGACTCCTGCAATATAGGGAGTTTCCTCCAAAAGCCCCTGGAATTTCAAACTACGGGAAGTCCATGGTGCAAAGAATAAAAGACACAAAATACCTATTAACACGCTGCATGGGGAGCTGCCCCGGCCTCCCGGTCAACCATAATTGGTCTTCATCATTGTAATGACCTTCCACCCAGCCACCTATGGCATGAGGAGAGGGATGCACTTTTACATTCAGAGGCCAAAAGGGACCATCCCATGATCTAATTCATTCAAATTGGAAAATATGACATGGGCCATGGACTTTTACCCGGTTGCTCCTCTGTTGAACCCAGTGACTCGTGTTTGATGGCACTGCATTTCCAGAAAGGCATCAGGAGACTGGGAAACCATCACCTCCCGTGCCAGTTTGTCCCAATGGCTAATCAATCTGGCTGTGATGTCCAGGTTGACCGTATCCCCCACAGCTCCCAGCCATTCGTCTTGATTATGCCTTTCTCCACTCGTGTAGAGTCCCTTAGTTGCCAGGATTTTTTCCCCGTGGTGATACTTTATATGCACTGTTGTTTCTGTTGTCTTTTTGACAAGCTAAAAATATTGCGTCCTTAAGCTTCTTGTTGAAAGGAATTTTCTCCCACCCTTGAATAACTTTTGTGTTTTTTCCTAAATGCTCGCTGAGTTTTCTGAAGTTTTTTAAAAAGGCGGACCCCAGAATCTGAGTCCGCATTGGCCTTTCCAGTGCATACCCCAGGGGTATAATCCCCCCCTTTCTCATGTGAGCATACACCCAGTGACGTATCCAGAGGTGCCAGAAGTATCCCAGAGCATCGTTGCATCTTGCGTTCTTAGATGCGTCACTCGGTAGGTGTCTTAGTAAAACACATTGTCATGGGACCAGCTTCCCAACAAGCATCCGACTCGCTCTGTGCGTGACTGCCCTCTCCTTATTATTTACCACTCTGCCAGCCTTTGTCCCATGCAAATTTAATTAGCAGTGGTCTCATATTTACTTCCAATACATCAAGGGCATCATGATGGAGCTAGCACCTGGCCTCCCTGTGGACCCTCAGCAGAAATGTCCCACGTTGAGGATGATTTGATGACCACTTTGACCTATGTCCACTAGCCAGTACCAAATCCTTTAAAGCGGTGCTTTATTCATATTATAGAGCACCGATTTTTAAATCAGAGTCTAGTACAATACTAAGGGAAATGCTTTAAGACAACGTATTACATCCTGGGGTTGCCTTTATCAATCACATTTGTACTCTACTCAAACAATGAAGTCAGATCTGGTTGATAAACCCATTTTGCATAAAAAGTATGGTGACGAGTACTCATTTTTCTCCTTTTTTAGTTTTATTCACAGAATTGTGTAACCAAACTGGATCTAAACCAGTGAGGGCTTTGTAGGTGAAAACCTGCACCTTAAATTGCTGCTTTATTGGTATGCAATGAAGAGCATCAGGGTAATGTCATGCAGACTCTTACTCTGTCTTCTAAATGACGTCACTTTGAGGATGAAGCTAGAATGAATAATGGGTGAAGTGCAGGAAGAATGGATACCATTGGGTCAAAATTAGTTAAAAAAAAAAAATCCCCTGGTCAAAATACACAAGAGCTAGCGTGGAAGACTTCAGTAGGGACTGCCGGAAATGTCGAGCTGCCGGTGTCCGGGGCTGTACAGCTCGCAGCAGTGCCAGGAAGAGGGAGATGCAATGGGCTAACAGTGACTGGGGAACCAAAACCTGACCGAGGGAAACTTCTGAATAAAAGTGTGCCTAGAAGAAACCCCACTGGATGGTTAGCAGGCTTTGATGGTATTTTTAGTATAGCAGCATACAACAATATGTTCCTGCTGTGGTCTTCAGTTTGGGGGGCAAATCCCTGCCCATACTAAACTAAGCCCAACTCATTGGGCTTGGGTCAGGGATTCCTGGGCTTCAGGGGACTGAGTTATTGAAGACATTAGTGAAGACACTAGCAGTAGAGCGAGTTATCGTCCATCCCTCGGACATCCAGAGCCATGGAGTGATACGATAGGGGCACCTAAAGTACGCCATCTCCGTGGTTGTATACCCATTTGCTCTCCTATTAAATCCCCCAGTTTCATCTGGGGGTCATTAAGGAGAACCTGCTTGGGAAATCGTTAGCAAATTCTGCTTGGTCGCTGCTTTGTGCTGAGGGAAGACAGCTTGGCTGGGACGCAGGCGGAGCTGATTAATGGAACTGTTTGTCTAAGGAAATAAATATAAATATCTG